ACAAGTCAAGCATTTGATGAGTCATGGGATGTAAGAATTTGCCCACAAACTCTGCTTTCCCTTCTGCTGTCCAGGGATAAATTGTCCCTGCTCCTATCTAAAGCAAACACCCTCCTAGGGCACAAGATCCCAACCCTGGGCTCCAGTGATTCTCCCCTGCATCATGTTTTCTCCCTCTTTGCTGAATCGTTTCATCAGCACATAAATAAATATGCTGTAATCTCACCCAGCTTTAAAAAACAAGAAGTCTCTCCTGACCCCACTTCCCCTGCAGCTTCAACCCTATTTCCATGCACCTTTCCTAGGAAAACCCCAAAATAACTGTTGATTCTTAATCTCGTCCACGCTCTCTTGAACCCACTTCACCTCCACATCTGCATCTGCTCTTTGTTCATGCTGCCAGTTCTCCGGTGTGGCTAACCCTCCCGGTCCTCACTGCCTCACTGCTCAGCCAAGACCAATGGATCCCTCCTTCTTCTTGGTGGCTTCTGAGACTCTCCATTCTCTTAGTTATTCCCGTTACCCGATCAGGGTCCCCTTTGCTGGGTTCTCCTCATCTCCATCACCTCTGAAGGCTGGAGGGTCCCATGACTCAATGCTTGGGTCTCTTTGATTCTTTCTTCCTTTCTATTTTTTTCTCCTATGCACCCACAGGGATGGAATGGACCCCAGGGCCTCTCACATGCCAGCACGGGCTCTGCCCGCACCTATCCCCCAGCTCCCTTCCCTGTTTCCATCACTCTGTTGCTGATTTCATCCGGTGTCATGTTATTAAATGCCACCCGGCATAGCCCAGGTTCCCCTAGGAGCAGAATCTTAATAAAAGGTCTGCATGCGGGTAGCTCATATGGGAATGTAATTCCAGAGACCAGATAAGAGGGACCCAGGAAACAGAGGACAAGAAAAACAACTCAAAGATGCATTTTCTTTCCCCGCAGTGCTAGGGATGAACCCAGGGCCTTGTGCATGCCAGATAAGCACTCTACCAACTGAGCTCTGTCCCCAGCCCTACTGAGCTGATGGCTACAATGGAGACAGAGGTCTGAGCTCATGGAACCTTCTAAGGAGGTGCACAACTGTCCATCAAGGGATCCAAAGGGGGAGGTTTTTTCCACTGGCTTCCATTTGCAGTTGGAGGAGACAGTAAGCATTTCAGATGTGGGAGCCACAGGAATGAAGAGAAAAGCTCAGCCTTGGTGCCACCCTGGAAATCTCTGTGTCATGAGAACATTGAGGAGGAGGAAGCAAATGTGCAGGCTGAAGAGCAAGAGGAAAATGAGGCAGAGGGCCAGTAAACCAGCCTGCGCTCCAGGGAGGCCAGAGGAGCAGAAATCAGGAGGCCCGGGACGCTGTATGGTTGGAGAGTGTGCTGCCTTCCAGAATTGGCCTCAATGGATCTAGAACTTCCATCTCCCTCCAGTTGCCGAGACCGCCTCGGAGAGGCCCACCTTGTTCATGACGCAGAGTCCCTGCTGGTCCTTTGCCTAGGATCTTTGGCCTTCTGGACTAGTTCCATTCTCAGTTGTGGCCAAGTGTAAGAGTACACAATAAATCACCTCCTCTGCTGTTTTGGCTGTGGCTGGGGGGAGAGGACTGACCCCCGATATCTGTGTATTCCTGCCCATCTTCTCTGGAGGGGAATGGCAAGAGTGGGATGACCTTGGGTTTGACCTAGGGGGCTGAGGTCCACTGGGCCTCGTTGTGGCTATGTGACCTGTGCAAATTCCTTGAACTTTCTGAACCTTGGTGCCCATATCCTCAAACTGAAGAAGAGGAAACCTACAACAATGAACTGTAAGCCTTCCATTAAAACAGCTGGGCATGCTACTGCCTGCCCGGAGTGCCAGCTCCTGGGAGGAGTGCTTGAGCCCATCAGCTCAAGACCAGCCTGGGAATCAGCAGCAGGACCCTATCTCAAATAATAATAATAATAACAGCAACAACAAAACCAGTCTGGATCTGGTGGCACACGCCTATAATCCCAGCCACTCGGGAGGCTGAGGCCAGAGAATTGCAGGTTCAAGGCCACAGGGAAGGAACAACCTGCAGCCTTCCCGGGCTGCCTTCTCTCCACCAGGGCTCTTTCTCCGTCCTGCTGCAGCCCCTTGATTCCATCTCTGTCCAGAATTTCCCTGGAAGGTTCTCCACCAGAGAGCTTGGCGCCAGCCTGGTACCCAGGCAGGCTCCCGAGTGTGTAGAGATCTTGATGACCTAGAGTGACAGTTCACACCTGTGATGATGAAAATTTAGGTGAGGGTGGCAGGGACAGCCAGGGGAGGTGGGTTACACACCTGGAATCCCAGGGGACTCGGGGAGGCTGAGGATTGCAAGTTCAAGGCCAGCCTCCACCCCTTAGTAAGGCCCTGTCTCCAAAATAAAGAGCTCAACCAAAACACAAACAAACAAAAAACACAAAGGGGCTGGAGGTGAAGCACTTGCATAGCCTGGTGAGGCCTGGGGTTCAACACACACGCTCACATACACATACACACACACACACATAAGGGAAAAGATGGAAGGGAGACCCAGCCACTCTCAGGACCACAGATATTGTTTGAAGGTGCTGGGGCGTGGGCTAGGGATCCGGGTGAGATGGGGGGTGCTGGACTCTCAATCATTGATAACATGGCTGTGCCGCTTTTCAGAAAAAGTGACAAAGTGTGACCACAGAAGAAAGAGGGGGAGAAGGTTGAGCTCACCTAGGGCCCCCTCCTCTTCCTCCAGGCCAGCCCCAGGTACCTTGGGGGGGGGACCCTAATCCCTTTGTTTTACAAAAGAAAGAAGTGACTTGTTCAAAGTGTGAAGCCCGGGGCTGGGGATGTGGCTCAAGCGGTAGCGCGCTCCCCTGGCATGCGTGCGGCCCGGGTTCGATCCTCAGCACCACATACAAACAAAGATGTTGTGTCAGCCCAGAACTAAAAAATAAATATTAAAAAAAAAAAAAAAAAAAAAAACAAAGTGTGAAGCCCAAGAGGGTCAGATTGGGAGGCACTGGGGACCTGCGCTCTCCTGGGCCTTCCCAACTCCTTCCCCCTCCATTCAGCTCTGCGCTGGGCCTCCTCCTCCTCCTCCTCCTCCTCCTCCTCCTCCTCCTCCTCCCTCCTCCTCCCTTCCGCTCTCTGCCTCCCCTTTTTCTCTTTGGTGGCAAATCCGAGGCCCTGATTGGCAGCAGCTACACAGCCTCACACCCCTAATCTCGCTGTCTGAATGACAATCCCGCCGGGCGGCCTGCTGCATTCAGCCCTTCACACCCTCCTCTCAGTAGCTGGGTGGTCCCTTCCCCGAGCAGGGGCTGCTGGCCCTGCCTTCCACTTAGCATTCCCCCAGGAAGCCAGGACTTCCCAGGAGCCAGGCGCTGGCCTCCAAAACAATATCCAAATATGACACGGCCTCCCCACCCCCTCCCAGGGCCAGACCATAAAATAAAGCCGCGTGGGCCCGGCACCCCTGGCCAGGGCCCTTTGTCTGGTTTGGAAACAGCCTGAAAAGATGAAAGGGGCCTGGACTCTGACCTCCCCACCTCTCGTTATCTCGGGCCCACTCCCCTTGGACGCTCTGAGGCCGGCCAAGGCATTTTCCCATGGCCACTGGGGTTAGAGACGTCCTAGCAGGGACTCAGAGAGGAATTTGAGGAACGTACCTGCCCAGGGGCGATTATTTTCATCCAGGACAGGCTGAAATGGATAATGAGGTCCAAAACAAACGTCCTGTCTCCTCAAAGGCTCTCTAAAGAGAGGCTGTTAGATATAGTCCATTAGCTGGGGGTGGCAGGGGGGACACAGAGCCACTTTTTAGCCTGCTGCTGAAGACAGGGGAGGCACTTTGCCAAGTTTAGATTCTTTTCCAAGTCAGTGGGGGGGGCTGAGTTTGGATTTAAACTCCAGCTACGACGATGACGTCACCGTCACCGAGTCTCTCACTCAGGTACCGGCAACAAGTGGCCTCCTGCCCGCCAAGAAAAGATTTGCAAGAGATTATATCAGAGAGATACCAGCAGGGTCCACCGTACAAAAACAAAAACAAACCCAACATTTAAAAAAAAATTGAAAAAGCAGAGCTGGTTAGTTTGTTTATTTTGGTCCTGGGGATTTATCCAGGGGTGCTTTACCACAAAGCCACCACCCCAGCCCTTTTTATTTTTTATTTTGAGGCATGGTCTCACTAAGTTGCTGAGGCTGGCCTCAAACTTGTCATCCTCCTGCCTCAGCCTCCTGAGTTGCTGGAATTACATTTCCAGCTGAAGAAGAATCAGAGTTTATGTGTGTGGCTATATATATATATATATATATATATATATTTTTTTTTTTTTTAAAGAAAAGATATTTGTCACATATCAGTATCTTCATTACATGTTCCCTACCATTGTTCTCCTTTGTCATCTCAATTCAGGTTCTAATTCCCCACTTCTCACTCACAAACTGGGCCTGGTAGTGGGGACTGGGGATGGAACCCAGGGCCTCCTGCATGCTAAGCCCATCCTCTACACCCCTAGCCCCACCTCCAGATTTTCCTTTTTCTCTTGTTTGGCAGTGCAGGGGACTGAACCCAGGGCACTGTGCCTGCCAGGCAGGCGCTCCACCCTGAGCGGCAGCCCCGGGTTTTAACAGAACTCCCAAGCCAGAAACCAGAATCTCTTGTAAATCCTTTCCCTTCTAATTCATCCTTAACCGACGCAGTTCATCTTAAAATAGAACGCATCTGTACTCTGTTCAGAAACCCTCCTAGTCACGGAGGCCGCGTGGTAAGGCTGGGCTAGCTCAGGGCTGGGCAGGATGACGTCCCTTTCCCTTTCCCTTACATCACTGTACAATGAGGTTTGCGTTCTCTAGACACCCTCAAACCTGAGCCTCGTCAACCCCTCCCACGATACTCCTCTTCCTTTTACTGACTTAAAAAACCACTTTCCATTTTAAAAAAAGAAAGAAACAACTTTACTAGCACGGTTTCCAGGCAAATGTCTTGGGCAGCGGTGATGGTTAAATGAACACTTCTGAATGTGCTTTGGTTCTTCTTTGGTTTAATATTTCTCATTAAAAAAAAGAAGGAGAAGGAGAAGAAGAAGAATCTCACTCTTGGTTCCTTGGTTCAGGTTGTACAGAATCTTGTTGCTGGAACATCATGGGGACATGGAGAAGCCCAACGGGTGACTTCCAGTGAGTGTTCCCTGGACATGAGCAAGGCCTGCTTAGGCGCTTGGGTATGAGCGCGTGCACACACACACACACACACACACACATTTGAGAAAAAAAGCGCACCCCATCACCCCCTCCCCACAAATCATCTACAAAGCAAATGGAAAGAAAAAAACTGGAAATATAGAGAATGATAAGAGCATCATGCTTCACCTGGTATGAACAAGGTCCAGGGTTTGATCCCCAGCAACACAGAAGGGAAAAAATAATAATAATAATAAGGGCTTTTGGATGATGATGATGATTATTATTATTTTTCCTTTTTGGTACCAGAGATTGAAATCAGGGGCACTTGACCACAGAGCCATAGCCCCAGCCCTATTTTTGTTTTGTTTTCTTTCTTTTTTTGTGGTGCTGGGAATTGAACCCAGGCCATTATGCATGCAAGGCAAGCACTCTACCAACTGAGCCACATCCCTGGCCCTGTTTGGTATTTTATTTAGAGACAGGGTATCAATGAGTTGCTTAGGGCCTCACTGTTGCTGAGGCTGACTTTGAACTTGTGATCCCCTGCCTCAACCTCCCGAGCCACTGGATTACAGGCATGCACCATCTTACCTGGCTGGATGAATATCGTGTGTGTGTGTGTGTGTGTGTGTGTGTGTGTGTGTGTGTGGTACTGGGCATTGAACCCAGGGCCTCACACGCCAAGCTCATCCCCAGCCCTTTTTATTGATTTTTATTTTAAGACAGGAGCTCCCTAAGTTGCCCAGGCCGGTCTGGAACTTGCAATTCTCCTGCCTCAGGCTTCTGAGTTCCTGGAATCAGTTGTGAGCCACCCTTCCCAAATTCTTTAACCCTCCCTTTCCTCCCTGTAGACTGGTATTCCTAATAGCTACCTTTCAGGGTTGTTGTTTTTTAAACAATGTGAGTAAAGCATTTAGCAGAGTGTCTGCCACATCCTCAGTTGTATAACTGTTAGCTTAGATAATGTTGATGAGGATGATATAGACTAATAGCTGCAGAGGTTGTTCTTCACATAAAGACAAGCAGACTTCCTGGAGAATATTCTGGACTCTAATTTCTCTGCTCTGCCCATGCTCACCTAGTACTTTGAACCTTTGCTCCAGCTCTTCTCTGGATTGGAATGTACTCTCCCCTCCTCCTCTTATCTCAAGATTCAGCTCAAAGGACAGCTTCCCAGTGAGATCTTTCTGACCAGCACCTCACCCCAGCCCAGCAAAACTAACCATGCCTCCACCGAGTGCCCGCAGCTCCAGGGCAGCGTGTCTCGCATTGCATAACAGAGTCTTGCTTGTAAGTTGGTCTTTAACTTCTTGAGTATTAGTTCTGAATTCCCAGTACTACACAGTCCAAGACCCAACTGCCCCTATGGGTGCTCAGTAAGTGTTATGGGAGGAATGAGAAAAGCACTGGCTTGTTCCTGAGGGTCTCCTTGTGGCCTCCAAATCCCACCCACAGTCCCCAACCCTCAGGTCTCTGATGGCAACGGGATGAGTACAATCCTCACTCCTGGCAGATCCCTGAAGGTAAAGAAAGGTACCGGGTATTATTGCATGTTCAGTTGCTGCCTCCATTCGTCCTGTGTCACCTGCTGACCAGGTGCCTTGCCACAGGGAGCACAACTCAGGAGAGTCAGAAGATATTTTAGTGGCCAAACTTACAAAACTGAGTTAGTCATAGGTGTTAGGTGGAACCTGACACAGGCAACACCGTTCTGAAACACGTCCTCCACCTTAGAACAAGAGTCGCCTCCCAGTCACTCTGACTCAGCCTGACCTTAAACCCCAGGCAGTACTCCATCAGCACGCAAAGGAAGGAAACTGCTACCTGGGACTGGAGTCCTGAAAATACCTGGTTCACCGTGGAACAGTGGCCACCTCCAAGAATGGAGGTGAGGACCAAAGGACCCTTCCCTGACAACCCCGTAGCCACGACCTAACCTCAAAATCCCCCCACTCTCTCATCCTCGTTTATCTACCCCAGGCTGAAAGTGGAACACGTCCTCTCCACTGGGCCCCCTCAGCAGGTTGGTACAGAATAAACCCGGGTACCTGCTGGGCCCCTCCCCTCCCCCACCCCGTTTCCTTCATTCCCTTCTTTTCTTATATTTTGGTGCTGAAACCCAGACAAGTGTTGGAGGTTCCCACCATAGGTGCCCCCCCTACCGCCCCGGGCCTTCCCTTGACCTTGACCCAGTGTCTCTTTCTTTCCCCCTTTCATTCTCCTTCCTCTCCCTCCAGTAAGGACCACTCACATTGCTGGACTTCTCCTCCACCAGCCCTCACCTATTGGGTGAGTGACCCCCTCCAGCTCCCTTGGATTCTTGGAATCCCTGCCTCGGTTTCTCTCTCCTTGGATACTTTTCCTCTGACAAATCCCAGCACCGGGTGGGAGAAACCCCTGCCACCACGTAGTGGCAATGACAGGCTTTCTTTAAGGGACACCCCTCCATCACCTGTCACTCCACCCATGGGTCCTGGGACAGTGTAAGAGAAACACAATTCTTGTGGAGATGCCCTTTGATTTTTGGAATCCTTGGGGGCCCTCCTCCATCCATTTGTCCAGCATGGGCCAGATCCCCCCAAAGTACTCATGAGATGTCCCCTTGGGGTTCCTTCCCAAACACATCCAGACCCTGGGGCTCCAAGACAGTCAAACCTGAAAGACCGGTGCTCCTCTGTGATCCTGCCTGTCCCCCTACAAGCTGGACAAGGACAGTCACTGGCCTGAAAATGGCACATTTGACTTCCAAATTCTCCAGGACCTTGAAAATGTTCTCCACCACGATGGCAAAGGGTCTGAGGTCCCCTATTTCCAGGCCTCTGGCTCCAGGCCTTCTCTCTGCCAGAACTGCTCAGCTTTTCACATTCTTCTCCCCAATCCCCCTCCAGGCATCCCCAACCTTAACCCTAACCCTTTGATTTTGACCCCAAGAGGAACCTCCTCTCTCCAGCCTCACAATCAACCTCCTCCTTACGCTCATCCTGACTCCCTTCACCCCTTTTCTTCCCTCCCCACCCCACCCTCATCCTGGGGGCTTCCCCCATGGGACCTTCTGCTCCCTCCAAGGCCCTCCCTTCCCCGAGGTGGCAGGTACTGAAGGCACTGTGTGTGTCCACCTCCTGGCTTCCCTAGGCGACCTCTCACCCTCTGGGCTCTTTTGACTTGGAACCGACCAACTTTTGGAAGGAATTCCTACACATCACGCAGTCCTGCGCCCTCACGGGGCATGATGTTTGTGTCATGCTTTCTTCCTGTCTCTCCTGAGTATAAGGATCGCATCTGGTCGGCAGCTGAGGCCCACGCAGATGCCAAAATCCTGCCAACAACCGCGCAGTTGCCCATACTGACCTCACCTGGAACCACCAGACCACAGGACCAAGCCAGGCCCCTGATCACGGGGCCTCCGGGCGGGAATGGAAACGGCTGCCTGAACTATGGAAAGATGAGAGAAATCACGTAAGGCGCTGGTGGAAACCCCGCCCCCTTCCTCTCCGGCCTCTCAGAGGCTGTGATTAAATACACCAACCACAACCCTGACTCAGAAGACGGCAGACTCTACCTTCATTGACATTTCACCTCCCAGTCTGCCCAAGGTATCAGAGAAAAGCTCCAAACCTGGGGACGGACCAGACCCCTCAACATGAACTTGTAAGACCAGCCTTCAGGGTCCACAACAAGAGAGAGGAGGATCAAAAACCCAAAAACTCGCTGGGTGTGATGGTGCATGCCAGCAGCTCAGGAGGCTGAGGCAGGAGGATCACAAGTTCAGAGCCAGCCTCAGCAATAGCGAGGGGCTAAGCAACTCAGTGAGACCCTGTCTCTAAATAAAATACAAAATAGGGCTGGGGATGTGGCTCAGTGGTGCCCCTGAGTTCAGTCCCTGGTATTTCCCCCCTAAACCCCAAAACTCAAAATGAGGTCAGACTGAATACCAAGTGTGGGCAGCTGCACTCATTCAAGGGCCCCACAGACCCCATAAACAGGTGTCCTCTATGTCATCCTCCACACCTCCAGGTACCCATGTGGCCAGCAGGGACACTGGGAAAACATAGGCTCCAACTCTAAACCTCCGCCAGGGCTCTGCCCTGTCTGCCACCAAAGGGGGACCCCGGAAATTGGAATGCGCTCAGCGAGACTCTCCTCCCATTGGCTTCCAGTTCCCACAGTCCACGGATGCAAACCCAGGCTGGAAACCCCTCAGCCTGAGGACAGTCAGCCGACCAACAGAAGACAGACAGCCCCTGGACTGTCACCCCCACCGCCATCACTCAGTCCAGCCCGGGGTGACGCCATCGGCACTGGTGAGCCTTGCTCTTTCTTACTGGACCGGGCAAGTCTTTCCTCACCTCCTCCAGAAGCTTCCTCACCTCTATTGTTGGCGTTGAGGGAAGTCCCCCTGCGCCTGCCCCTAAAGGAATGGGTCCTCTGCTCTGCAACTTCCCGACACTCTGTTCTCACACTCCTTCCTGGTCACACCCAATGCCAATGCCCATCCTCGCTGGGGACACTCTGACCAAAGCCAACGCCTCCACTCATTCAGCTCCCGCCACAGCTCCCCACACCCGCTGCCCCTTTATCCTCTTAGGCCTCCCCTGTCAGCTCCTCCTTGAGGTGTCAGCCTTGGCAGGGGACACCTCCAACCCACGCGGCCACCCTCCACACTCCTGTTAAGATCTCCCTGCAGACCCGCCTCCTCCTGCACAGGGCCACATCCCTCAGTCCCCAAGACCTCAGGGCCCCAAGCCCATTGTTTCCTGTCTTCTCGGGGCTAACACCCTCCGCCCGCCAACGCCCCACGGGACAGACCCCAGTCCTGGCTGGTGGAGAGCCTGAGGGTCCTGTCCCCCTAGTCCAGGGCCTCCCCTCACTAACCAGCCGCTGTCCCAACGCATCCTCGTCCCAGCCCTCACGCCTGCTCCTGTTCCCTCATCTGCCACCCAGTCCCAGTCCTCGGCCTCAGAGATGCCCCGTCACCAGTCACCATCCCATCAGACCCTCCTCTCAAGATCTATCTGCCTCCATGGGGACAGACCCCGACACCCGCCTCTCCACCCAGCTGACCTGGACGGTCCTTCCTCGGGGCTTCAGGGACAGGCCCTGTGCTCAGCCAAGCCCTCTCTCACGACCTGGCTAATCCCAACCTCTCCCTGGTCCTCTGCCTCAGCACGTGGGTGACCTGCTCCTCTGCAGCCCCCCCACCCCGTGACCTCTCTGTCGGACACACCAACCTCCTCTTAATTTTCTAAATAAGTTAGGCTACTGCACCTCCCCCCAGCAGGCCCACGTGGCTCCAGCCCGACTGACCCACTAGGGACTCACGCTTGCTCCCCAGGTCCCAGCCACTCCCTCTGTCCCTAGACAGCTCCTTCAGGACCGCCAGTCCCCACTCAACGTGATCCTCTCTCCTTTCTGGGACTGGCAGTTATTTCCGCCTCTGGGTTCCTAACTTTGGCTTCCTTGCTAAGTCCCTCTGCTTCTCATGGTGACCTTTCTGAACCCTTGGATGCTCACAGGGCGGTTAGAGCCTTTCCTCCCACCTCCGAGAAGGCTCCCACGGTGGCCTCCGTCCTCCTTGATCACATCACCCCAGAATCGGCTGCCCACCTCTGTCCAACTGGACAGTGGCCCAGCCTGCGTTTCCAAGGCCACTAACCTGTCTCAGCCCCCACATCACATGGCGGCTCCACACCCCTGCCACCCCCACCCTCAGGACAGGGGAGCTCCCCGGCCCCCCCTAAAACCACACCCCAAGCCGATGCTCCCACCAAGCTTCTCCCTTGGGGCTCCTTGGTTTACCAGTTATCCCCCAAACCCCTCAACCCGAGCCCTCGAGCTCCGCTGTGGCCGTCCCTTGCTGCTCCAGGGCTTTCCTTTCTGCCCCTCCCATTCCCGGCACCTGGCCAGCCTCACGCCCCACAGGTCGCCTAATCAGACGACAAGCAGAGCAAGTCCTGCCTGAGCCCACCGACTCTCAGCGCCCTTTAAACCCACAGCCGGGGGAACAGACGCTCCGACTCCCCTGAACCCAGATGTGTAGGTCCACATCGGGGAGTTCGACAATGCCCCGGAGGCCACACTGAGGTCATCCCCGCCCTGGACGCCCCATTCCAAGCTGAAAAGGGCAAAGCTCCACTCATCACCCACCGTTCACCCCGTCCCCCCTCCTCGCTCTTCCACAGGCCCCACTTCCATCGCTGGACCCCGAAACCCGAAGACCTGGAGGATGAGGATGCTCCCTGCGAACCTGCATCTCTTTACTACCCGTCTTTCTCTTACTGCCCGTCTCTCTCCCACCCCAACTTCTGCCGGGTCTTTGTCCTCACTGCCAGGACCTTGCCTGTTGCCCATCCCAGAGCCCTTCCCACCCGCTGGGTCTGGTCACCCTCCGAGCTCCGCTGATGTCGCCAGCCAGCCTCTTCCTACCAGGGTGGGCACCAGAGGGCTCCTCTCCCCTGAGAAAACTGTTAGAACAGAGCTTGTGACGTGCCAGGCGACACATGCCCTCTGATACACGGCTGCCCACCCCTTGCCTCGCACATCACTGCTCCGTGGCAGGCCAGCTGGGCGCCCTGCTCACCTCCTGCCTCCTGGGCTCCTCTCTGTGTCGGGGGCCCAGGAGAAGGCGCCTGTGGCCCCCCTCCTCCCTCTTTGTGGAACTGTGCCTTTCCTTCCCCAGCCCCATTTCTGAGCACATTGCCTGTGCGGGACCCACAGGCCACTTAGGAGAGCCCCCATTCCCTGCGCCCTTTGGAGCGCACCTGTGACTAAACACCTGTCCTGGCTGTGCCCAGTGGAGGTCCACGAACCAGTGCGCCTCTCTGAACAGCAGTCCTATCCCGTCAGTCCAGATCACTGCCAGCCTCCCCTTACCTGGGCACCTGTCCTTAAACCTCCAAACTCCCCACATTCTAATTGAAGAGCCCCGACTTCTGGACACAGTATTGGTCCCTCAGAGCTGCGCACGTGGTGGCTGCCACCTTTACCTTTTACCAGGGTCAGACGGTCAGACGTGGGGCCACAGTTGTCTCAACTACAGCCAGCAGTCTCCTGGCACCTCTCTGGCTGCCTCCTTCATAACCAGGGAGCCTCATCCTGGGTGGGAACAGCACTTACATCTGTTCACCACTCCCTGGACAGGAACATGCGCCCTGGCCTTCCTCACCCCCTACCCTCAGTGGCCCATTGAGGGGGCACCAATCCCCATCCCAATGTTCACCCTACTTGGACCAAAACGAGCTGCCCCTCTGGCTCCCCTCCTGGTGGGTCAGTGCACAACCACAGCAACCACCCAGGAGCAGCAGTAGTAGGAGTTTCCGCCCACCATGCTGCAGGACCATCCAAGGAAATGGTGGACAGCCTTTGAGAAATCCCACCCAACTGTCCATGCTTCAGGACCAAACAGACCCATTGGTGGTGACTGTCCTCCAAAACAGACAAAGACTAAGTTTATTAACTGCAGAAAAAGGAGGAATCTGTGCCCTTCCTACAGGAGCTCTGCCACCCAGGGCACGGTGGTACATGCTTGTAATTCCAGTGACTCGGGAGGCTGAGGTGGGTGGATCGCAGGTTCAAAGCCAACCTCAGCAACTTAGTGAGATCCTGTCTTGAAATAAAAAATAAAAAGGGGGGGCTGGGGATATGGCTCAAGCGGTAGTGTGCTTGCCTGGCATGTGCAGGGTGCTGGGTTCGAGCCTCAGCACCACATAAAAAAATAATAAAGAGGTTGTGTCCACCGAAAACTAAAAAATAAATATTAAAAAAATTTAAAAAAATAAAAATAAAAAGGGATGGAGATGTGGTTCAAGTTAACCATCCCTGAGTTCAATCCCTGGTACGAGAGAGAGAGAGAGAGAGAGAGAGAGAGAGAGAGAGAGAGAGACCTGCTGCTTTCACAGGAACAAGTCTGGCCTGGTGAGGGAAGGCATGAAAAGTTAAGAGACCAGGCTGCCAAATTCCATCAGTACTCCTCCTCATGGAACATGGAGTGGGATGGTTTTCTCCCCTGGCTATTTTTCTTGGTTAGCGCCCTTCTCCTTCCCAGTTCTCTGTATAACTGTGGCTTTGTGTGGGGCCCTCCGTGTTTCGGCTCTTCACCTCTACTTTACAGAGGACCATCGATTCCACTACCAACCAGAGGGTGCAGAGCATCCCCCTGCTGAGCTCCATGAGAGCTGCTCAATGCCAAGGCCGACAGGAGTCCTCGGACGAAGCCCCCTCCCAGCAGGAAGTAGCTAGAGAGACACGGCCACCCCATCTCCCTTTACCCCTTTCTTATTAAAGAAAAAAGAAAAAGGCAGGAATGTTAAGGAGAACTTGACACAGGCGACACGGTTCTGAAATACGTCCTCCACCATAAAATAAGAGTCGCCTCCCAATCACTCTGAGTCAGCCTGACCTTAAACCCCAGGCAGTACTCCATCAGCACGCAAAGAA